GGAGAAGCGCCGCCATTGCCCCCCATTGACGGAGGTTCCTCGCCACGGGGATGCCGCGAGAGGAAGCCGCTGCACCGCCGAGAACCCGCAAGTAGAAGCGCCTGGATGGAACGTCGCCCACCAGCTCCACGTCGGAGATAGCCACTCCTGCCGCATTAATAGATGGCCCCAGCGCTCTGCGAACTTCGGAAGGCTGAACCGCTCTCGGTGCGCCGATGGAGTAGAGGCGCGGGCCTGGTGGTCGACCCCAGACCGCGAGCGCAGCCATGTCGAGCGGCGGGAGGGTCGCCTCAGCCATGGCCAGGCTATCCTGGATGCGCCCGACGTCGGCACGGAGCTGCTGCTGCCCCTGCTCAACCACGTGGGCCCTCTAGCTTGTGTCCCTGACCGTGTACCCCAGCGTGTCCAATCGTGCATCCTGCTGAACCTGACCGAGAACAGCTTGGAATACGTTGCGAAGGGTAGCGGTGGCGGACTGCAAGATGGAGGTGTTCTCAGCCTGGAGCCTCGCGGTGGCCAGCTGCATCTGCTCGGTGAAGATAGTCGTGAGCCTGGCTTCCAGCGCCTGCCCTGCGCCAGCGCGATGTACGCGAGCACCTTGTTCAGCGTCAGGCGTGGCTGTCCCACCCACTGGAGTACCGCTAGCAGCTGCCCAGGGATCTCGGTCACGAAGTGGATCAGGTCGCGGCCGTTCGGCATCTGGAAACGTGGGGGAATCGTCCAGGTCCTCCATGAGATGACGCACCTCTGCAGCTTGTCGCTGGTGATGTTGGTGCTGGAGCTGGGAAGCGCCACCCCCAGAGCTGCCTGCACGGCGGGAACCCTGGTCACGTTGCCCCTGGTCTCGATGCCGGGCTTGGACGTCCTTCGGTGCTCGACCCTGTCGATCGCGACGCTGCTCTCGACTAGCGGCAGGTGCGACGGAGACTCCACTATCACTGCGCGATCCACTGTTGGCACCGTGTCGACGGCGATGAGAGCGCTGCTGCGTGGGAGCACTGGAATCGGCCGAACTGGGCCATTCGGAAGACAATGGGTGTCGTCGCGAGGCCTCGAAGATCCGCGCAGTCTCCGTCCGAAGCGCAGCGCCAAAGATATGAAGAGCTAAAACAGCTAGAATATGGAACGCGAAGATTCGCAATGGGTGGCAGCTCACCCCTGGTTGTTGCTGCAAACGCATGAGCACAATAATCTGGATATGGAAGGGAGCGTACCCCGCTCAGGCAGTCACTGAATCACTAGATTGGCCTTGAGCCAAAATGGCTACGGAGGTGATGCGGTGGTTCAGACGTCTGGCACGTCCATGTCTATTGAAGGGGCGATGTCAGGTGCAGGGGTGAGCGTTAAGCTGTGCTTCGAGGAGTTCGGGGCGATCCACGTGACGGTTAATGCCTACGGCCTGGCTCTCTGGCACACGTCAGGTATGTTGGTGATGGCTCTGGTGAAAGTTTTCTCCCTCTCTCTATTGCTCAGAATGCCCGGCGGAGTACTACACCATGCTGTATGAGGAGCCATTGTCACTTGTGTTCAACAGTTCAGCGAGTCCGACGAGTCTTCAGAATTTCCCATGGCTGCGTTTGCACTTATATTTCTGTGACTATACCGTGGTTTCGAATTTCAAGAACGTGCACCGTGGGTGGGTATACTGTGGCGCCGACGGGAAAGAAGCGTTGCTTCCTTGGGTAAGTGCGCTTCCACAGAAGTTCAGACAGTTGCAAGGCATACTGGATGGGCGTGTAGTTATTGTGAGGGACGAATGTCTCTCGACAGTGCTGAGGGCGGTTGTGCGTTGGGAGAAGCTACTACTGGAGCTTCCAAACATGTCCTGTACTGTTGAGTTGCTTCGGGCCTTGGTGCATTCGATTCCGCCTTCTTCAGCTCTTAAGGTGACTCGAACAGGCATCCGTGTGCTCCATCAGCCCCTGAGAGGTCAGAGCAAGTTCGGCGCTATGCGGCAAGGGAAGCGTTCTCACGATCGACCTCGTGACAAGCGAGGGGGCGGCAATCGAGATCACAAGGAGGACCGCTGGGATCGGAGCCGCCGCTCTGCGTCGTCACATTCGTCGCCATCGGAAGGCAACGGCGAGAGAAAGACCCGCCATGCGCAGAACTACACGTCGTTCATTTCTAATCGTTCTCATTTCCAATTGTGCTCGTTTCTAATTGATCCTGGCCCACCGGTGGCCAGGAAGAGGCCCGGGATAGAAGAGTTGGGAATGAAAGGAGCTCGGCCCTCAAAAATACAAAGAACTGTCGAAGAATTAGAAATGAACCATGTGTAGCAGTGCGAGAGAGAGAGAGAGGACGATGCCCACCGCAAGACGGGCGAGGATCATGGCTGCTGCAAGGAAGCCGACCTGGAGGCCGCGCCGGAGGAGCCCCCCAGAAGAGGCGGGGCGCCGGCTCCGCGGTCGTCGAATTATTCTGCGAGCGCCAGCTCGGGGGGGGAGCCTTCCGCGAGCTCCCCCTCCTCCTCCAAGGCAGCGAAGGATGGGCCGAGGAGGCACGAATGCAAGGGGTACCCTTGGGAAGGTTGCCCATCCTTCCTATGCGGGTTGACTGTAGACCGTGCAGCGGCGCGTGTATGGCAGACGTGGCCAGGGCCCATCCGAGCAGGTCGCCCTCCTCAAGTCCCTGCTCTGTGGCCACACCCAAACAAAGTTGGGGACGTTTGGGGAGCTCTTCACGCAGGTGGGGACCAAGTGGCAGGTCCGCCAGACCCCAGGTACAATGTCTTCATTTCTTCGTGCGCATGGTGATTGAGTTCGGGGAGCTCCTCGTTGCAAGCGTGAGCGTGCGACAGCGTGCTGGACGGTGCGCAAGGGCTGAAAGTGATAGAACGTTGGTTAACTTTTACCTGGGAGTGCTAGGAGCTAACCGCAACCTTGTTTACGCTGGTAGTGTTTGGGATGGTTTTCTTGATTGCAGGCTTCTTCCTCGGGCGATACTCAGCAAAAGAGGGCCCGTCTTGGGCCAAAACTCACCATTGCCTGCCTTGTGCTCCCATGTGGTGATTCAAGGGACTTGGAACTCAGGCAGTGTTTCACACGATAGTGCGGGACCTGTTTTCCATGATCTTCAACATACAGCACTAGTCCGTGCGGGAAGTCTTACGACAGTTTTTGTGCCAGGGCTCCTGTGGTGGATGCGGCGGCGACTCAACTGGTGAACGAAAGTGGGATGGAAGAGTGACGGCAGGATATCGACCTTGGTTGTATAGTGCTGGCGGACTGGGCGTGATGGTCGTGTATGTCTTTCCCTTTGATTGCCCCCGCGGACAGCCGATGCCCAACGAACCGCATGACTCCTCTCGGCGTAGCGCCGGGGGCAAACATCGCGCATGCCCGAAGGCATCACGCTGGAGAGACGGAGTTGGACTGCAGAGTTCTGCGCCCACACGCCGAGACATCGGTCTGCCTGCCACAACATTGCGCAATCACATGCCCCACGGGAGCGAGAAAGCAGAGGGGGAAGGAGGAGGACAGAAGCGAAGCCAGGGAGACTGAAACTGGCGCTCGAAGCGCATCCCCACATGGTCCAACCGACCATTCTGATAAGAAGGCATCACACAACGACAGGCGTCAGGACTAGCGCATGGACAGTGCGCAATACCAAATGCAAGTTACAGCCCAAGCAGCCTTGCGGCTGATGGTAAATATGCCCGGATAACTATCGCACGGGAGGCGGAAGCAAGAAGGATAGGGAGCAGAGACAAGAAGAAGAGGAGGAAGAAGAAGACGGAGACGAAGCAAATCAAAATCACTCGGAATGTAATGTTCACGGGCTGCAGCTTCGCAGCGACAGCCCCGCCCGTAAACGAAAACGGGGCGGTCCAAAAGGGAGAGCGATCGCCCACATGCACGCCAGGGCCAAGCTGAAGCGCCACCCCGCCCATCGGAGCAACGACACGTCCATACCAAAAAAAAAAAACATGCAGGAGTGCAGGGAGTAAGAGAGAGGGCCTCAGAAGTCGACGTTGGAGAAGTGGCTGGAATCGGGATCGTCAATCAGGTCGAAGACGATCAGGTCGAGGATACGCTGGTGCTCGGCCCACTGCTCGGAATCCGAAGCCGAAGTGGGAACTGCAGTCAATGTTGGAGTTGGGACTGCCGAGATTGCTGGAGACGATCGTAGGGGCTGCCGTGAGTTGGGACGTGATGGCCGTGTCTTATGCTGGATGATTCCTGTTCCGCTCAGTCCTATTCCAGCGGTAAGTCATCATCGTCGGGGCTGGCTGCAAGCACATGGGCCCGAGCGAGAACTGAGGCACGCGCATGGGGAGCTCAAGCTTGGCCTCGGTGTCCCACGCCATGCCGAGGCGCTGTGCGGACGGAACTCGCTGGGACGCTCGCGGGGGAAGGCGTCCGTGTACAGACGCCAGTGGAATCATCATCATCATCAGCAGCAGCATCGTCATCATAATCATCATCAAAATCAGCATCATCACCATCATCATCAGCATTAGCATCATCATATTGATCATCATACTCATCATCATTATCATCAAAACCATCATCATCACCATCATCATCATCATCATCATCATCATCATCATCATCATCATCGCCGTCGTAGTCGTAGTCGTCGTCGTCATCATAGTCGTCGTCGTCGTCATCATCATCAGCATCAGCATCATAAGCAGTAGCAGCATCATTATCATCAGCATCATCAGAATCACCATCATGATGTACCACCTCGCACTAATCCACTACGATGCTCATCATCCTCCCCCGTATGGTCCTCATCCTCTTTCTCTTCCTCTCCCCTCCCCCTCATCACCGTGTCAGTCCTCCTCCGACCCAGGACCATTTTAGTTATCCTATGTAAACTTATGACGGCCGCGGTATTTACACGTGGCGACGACCTGATCGTTACTCAAAACCTCAACGCACCTACAACGCCGCTCCATTCACATGTAACAGCCCCCTGTCGCCCCTCGAACAGTAGCCTCGGAGAGAGTAGGCTTGTACGGTGGCGGGGCTTGCCGCAGGCAGCTGGACAAGAAGGACTCAAGCCTGACAGCTGTTCGCACGAGGTAGAGGATCAGCCCCTCGTTCGCAGAACCAAGACGGCCCGAGTCCTTGTCGATTGCGACCGACAAGATCGACAGGGTGGCCTCGATGATGACTTTGGGAGCCTTGACAAGCTCGTTGAAGAGAAGCCCGCTGGGCGTGCCCAGGTGCGCACGGTCTGGTGCAGGCACAGTCTTGGGTACCCCGACGCTGCTGCTAAAATCAGAGCTGATCCACGGTCCTGGCTCGAACAGCACGGCGTCCAGCACGGACTGCAGCATGGGCTCGCGCAGCAGCGAGATGCGCTCGCGGTCCGTGAAGAAGCCCAGCAGCAAGGGGATGCGGATGTAAGGGGCCGTCAGGTAGGTGAGCAGAAGCTCGCTGTCCGACTGCTTCATCATGCCATTGAAGTCTGGCAGATACTGCTGAAAGAGGACATCGTCCTCTGTCTTGAGGGTGCCGTCTGGGAGGCCAGCCAGGGTGTTGGGATTCGCGTGGCTGACAAACTTGTTGTCCGAGCTGTACTTGCCGAACACTTTTTGCCAAGGATTCGTGAACAGCGCCAGGGCCTTCTGGGCCAGGCCAGGCCCCCGGTTGGCAGTGAAACCCTTCACGGCATACGTGCAGGAGTCTGGCTTGCCCCTGTCGCCTTCCCACGACCACTGCAGCAGCTTGTCCGTCGCGGCCGCGCCGCCGCTCACCGGGCCCTCGCCGGCGGGCATGAGGAGCTGTTTCCAGAGGAACACCGTGTCCCTGAACCAGGCCAGCTCCATGAAGAGCTCGATGAGCTCGGGGCGCTCCCCGGTGATCAGCAGGTGCGCGTCCTCTCTCGGACGGTCCAGACCGAGTGACATGCCGACCTGCGCAACGAAGTTGCGATCGCCGGGGGAGCAGGCCAGCGTCTTGTCGAACTGGAAGATGACGTGCTGATCGTCGAGCGTCTTCCGGATGCTGGCGAAGTAGTCCAGCACCTGCGAGCGCACCGAGGCGTACTCGGGGGCCACCAGCAGCAAGGACTGGGACTCCTGCTCGAACGCGCCCGGGTCCAGCCCGAAGGGTCTCACAGGGCCCTCCGCGCGGCCGCTGTAGTGCAGGGCAGGCTGCGAGGCCCACTGCTGCTCGCCCCCAGACTCGTCGTCCCCCAGGAAGCCCACAGGCTGCCTCAGCAACGCGTCCATGATGGCGGCGAGCGCACCAGCCACGCAGGTGCGCGCGCCGTCCGTTTCCTTGTTCGCCTGGAGCGCGAACGCGACGGTGGCGAAATGGCGCGTGACGAGGTACAGATGGCGCATGATGTCCGCCTTGGTCTCGTACTTCATGCCGTGCGTCCAGAAGCACGAGGTCTTCTTCTGAGGGTGGTCCTCTGGAAGCGGCATCGGTAAGATCCTCGTCACCAGGTGAGCGATCAGGGCGAAGCGGGAGGCGTGAGAATGCTCTATCTGGTCCTCCTGGTGTTTGAGCTTCGTCAGCAGGTCGGCTGTTAGACGGCAGCACGCCGCCGCCTCGAAAGGGCCTTTGACGAAAATGGGCATCTTCGATGCCAACACGGGGACCAGGATCCGGCGCGCTGCGGCGTCGCCCTTGTACTTGTCCACGTCCGCTGCGATGAGGCGCTCGAAGCGGTCAAACTTTGTCTCCGCCACAGACTTCTCGATCTCGCACTTCGGGGGCTGAGCCGACCGCGTGCCGCTGTGCTCTTCCGCCTTCTTCTCGGCCTCGAGCTCCGTGGCCCGCACGAGCTCCTTCACCGCCTCGAGGTCCTTCTGGCGCTCTTCACCGAACTTCGCGGTGTGATCCTGGGGGGCAGAAAGATACCGATGCCGCGGTACTCCACTGAACCCCTCTCTGGGCGCGCTCTGGCCAGGACTCTGAGGCGAATCCGGCCGTGTCAACGAGGGCTCTTCAGAACGAGCATACGCCATGTATGTATATATATATATATACACATATATATATACCAGAACCATCGCTCGCGCGCTTCGCGCGCGCTCAAGATCTAGCTAGGCTGGATGGTCGAAGTCTTGGGGATCTCTATTCCATGACACTTCTTCTCCAGGGCTTCCAAGAACCACGAAGACGGCCGAAGCAGCTTCCAAGATTTCCCACGGTCCACCCACGGCGTCTTGATTCAGACAGGCTCAAAAGGCACTTCGGGGGCCCTTTTATTCGCTGCGGCTGGACGTAGCCAGAGGAAGATGGAGGAGAAGGGGATGTGAAGGGTTTCTCTGGGGGAGAAGGAGAAGGAGGATAAGGAGGAGTTGGAGAGGGTGGAAGAGGCCGCAGAGGAGGAGGATCCGGAGGAGGAGAAAGAGGAGGAGGAGGATGGAATCGGATATTTCCCTTTTGATAAGCCTAGCGAACCTGCCATGCGAACTTTGAAAAACATGTTGGACGTTTCGTTTTTCTCAAGTGCCCTCGGGGCTTCTCTCGGCGCTCTTTGGACCTCTTAAAGCCTCCTAGGGGTCTCATGGGGCGAAGATCTCGGGTTCTGGGTGAACGTTCTCGATCCTTGGCTGCGGTCGGGGCCCTCTCGGGCCGTCTCGGACGTCTCTTCGGCGCCTTTGAAACCGATTGGGCTGTCTTGGGGCGCTTTTGAAGCCTATTGGGCCGTCTTGGGGCGATCCTCGGAGCCTCACGGAGCGTTTTGCAGCGTCGGGACGCGCAACAGGCGGAAACGCCAAAAATGTTCAAAAACCTATGAAACATACATGTGTTTTGGCATCTTCGAGCTTTGTTGGGAGACCTCTTGGAAGCCTCTTGGGTATCTTGGGGGCCTCTTGGGCCGTCTGGAGGCCGTCTTGGGGCCTCTTGGAGCCTCTTTTGAGCTTCTTGGAGGCCTCTTGGGGCCTCTTGGGGGCCTCTTGGGACCTCTTGGGGTCTTCCTGGGGGCCCCTTGGGGCCTCTTGGGGGCATCTTGTGGCGGAGAGCTTAATTTTTCAGTTCGCGTTCCCTCTCTTGGGCCCCTCTTGGGGCCTTGTTGGGACCCTCTTGCGCCGTTTTGGGCGTCTCTGGGGCCGTCTCGGGGATTTCTTGGGCCGTCTTGGGGCCCTCTTGGGGGCCTATTGGGCCGTCTTGGAGCGGTTTGGGGAGCCTTTGGGGCGGTGTTTTAGCACAGGAAACACGAAATAGCGAGAATGCCAAAAACATGATTAAGAAAACAATGAAAATTAACGATTTCGCACTCTCGGGGCGCTCTTGGGCGGCATCTTAAAGGCATCTTAGGGAGTTTTGGAAGCCTCTGGGGCAGTTTTAAACCACATGGTGCGTCGCCAGAGACCGCTGGACAGCGTCTTGGGGGTGTCTCGAGACCGTCTGGGGCCGCCGGGATTGCTGTCTGAGGGCTCCCCGGGGCGAATTTAGGCCTCCCAGAGGCGGGCCTGGGCCCCGGGACCCACATCTGCGGTCGAGGTTCTGGCCCTCGGCCCCCGAGCCCGGTGCGCCGCTATGTGTGTATATATGTTTGTGTATATATATATATATATATATATATATATATATATATACACATACATACACACACACACACACACACACACACACACACACACACACACGCCCACAGACACCAGCCGACGAAGTTTGCCTGTACCTTCAGGGAGTGTGGCGGTATGCAAAACTGTTGGTTCACAGCGGTGATTTATACACCGCCGCCCTCCCCATGAGGCCCAGGAACAACTCATTGGAGGGATATATATATATATATACATACATATACATATATACATATATATATATATATATATATATATATAATATATATATATGTTCGCTGGCCCAACGGGACAGGCGAGCTAAGATCCCCCGGAACTGGTTAACCATGATTCTAGTTCGCGCGCGCGGGGCGGCCCCTGGGGGTCCCCAGACGAAAAGTACCCCGGCAACGTCCCGGGCGGTCCGACTCAGAGATGGTTGTCCTCCTGGGCGCCGCCCTCGAAACCCTCCAGAGAGCCCCAAGAAGGGCCGCGAGGCCGCCAAGAGCCCCCCAAGATGGTTCAAGAGTGCTCCGAAATGCCACACGCTCGCTTCAAGACGCCCAAGATGGTTCCCAGACGCCCCGACAGGCCCCCAAGAGGCGTCCCAAGAGGGCCCCAAGAGGCAAACATCGTCCCATTCCTGGAGCAAAACTTATATTTTTAGCATATTCGCCACTTGAGCTTTCACAACGTCAAAGCCGACCCAAGAGGCCCCCAAAATCGCCCCATGCCGGACCAAGAGGCCCCCAAGAGGGCCCAAAAACCGCCACAGAGGGCCCTAAGACGACCCAAGAGGCCCCCAAGACAGCCCAAGAGGCCCCCCAGTGTCAAGGATGTTGGAGATTGACCAGTCTGTTTTCCTTTCCGCACGTAAGCTCCGCGGAGTCGAGCATTGTGAAAAGGGTCGTTTTCACGACCAATCAAATACAGCACGAGAAATCAGGGAAACCCCAGTCACTGACTGGAACACCTGGAAACAATCCCATAGCTTGTTGTCGCTGATAGCTCAAAAAATTATCCTGGCGAAGGACCCAACCATATGCAGTTGTGAGTATCGCAATTGTGGGTATCTTCTTCGGTGGCACTCCCTATGGGGCCACGAACCGCATGAGGGGTGTGCCGAAATGTGGCGGGGTACACAACGCAAAGGAATACGATAGATCTGATTACGAGAGAAAGAACGCGGGTGAGTCAGAGCGCGAGGGAATCTGAGTATGAATGGGTCTGCGCGCGAGTGAATATATTTGCATGAATGAAACGCCAAGTGTAAGTGTATATGAATGTGACTGGTTCGAGCATGCCTGTCCGAACACACGTGACACTGGGCGTGGCCGCCGCAGGCAGCTTCCGCGGGAACCCCGACGGCAGCGCCCGCACGTCGCGACGCCCATGTCGGCACGCCTCTTGCGAGGATCGCGCCCGCTTTCGGCTCTTCTTTTCCCTCCTGTTTGCCCGCGCACTCCAAAATCCAAGGCTGCGGGCGCAGCGCAGCGCGGAGTCCCCGCGACGCGCGCTGGTCGCCCCGGGCGGGGTCCCAGCGACGCGCGCGGGTCAGAGCAAGTCTCTGACCGCTGGGCAGAGCGACGACGGGCGAACGAGGCGCCGGGCTCCCCGCAGCACGGAGTTCCCGCGACGCGCGCTGGTCGCCCCGAGAGGGTCCCAGCGACGCGCGCGGGTCGTCCGCGGCGCGAGGCCAAACAATTAGTCGGGCAGTCGAGAGAAGGCGCGGCTCGGGGGAGACGCTCCTCAGGTCAGGCCTCGCGGATGAACTCGGTGAAGCCGAGCTCCCTGGCGAGGGCCGTCGCTTCCCTCCTGCACCGCTTCGTGCGCGCCGCAAACTGCTCCAGCTGCTTCCGCAAGCCCTGCGGCGGCCCTGCCAGGAAGAACTCGATGCGCGGCGCCCGCATGAGCAGGAGGTCCTCGTGGCGCGTGGCGCGCGAGAGCAGCACGTAGAGCTCCAGCCACCAGTCGTCGTCCTCCTTCTTGCCGTTCCCTACCTCGTGGCGGCCGCTATCCTACCCCGCATGCGGCCGCGGGCACTGGGGCCTTCGGTGGAGCTCCCTGCGGGGCCACGAAACGTGTGAGGGTGTGCCGACATGGGTGGGGGTGACGCATGCGGGCGGCGGCACTGGGGCCTTCGGTGGAGCTCCCTATGAAGCCACGAAACCTGTGAGGGGTGTGCCGAAGTGGGTGGGGGCGACGCATGCGGGCGGCGGCACTGGGGCCTTCGGTGGAGCTCCCTATGGGGCCACGAATCGTGTGAGGGGTGTGCCGAAATGGGTGGGGGTGACGCATGCGGGCGGCGGCACTGGGGCCTTCGGTGGAGCTCCCTATGGGGCCACGAAACGTGTGAGGGGTGTGCCGAAATGTGTGTGGGTGACGCATGCGGCCGCGGGCACTGGGGCCTTCGGTGGAGCTCCCTATGGGGCCACGAAGCGTGTGAGGGGTTGGCCGAAGTGGATGGGGGTGACGCATGCGGCCGCGGGCACTGGGGCCTTCGGTGGAGCTCCCTATGGGGCCACGAAACGTGTGAGGGGTGTGCCGAAATGTGCGTGTGGGTGACGCATGCGGCCGCGGCCATTGGGGCCTTCGGTGGAGCTCCCTGTGGGGCAACGAAGCGTGTGAGGGGTGTGCCGAAATGTGTGTGGGTGACGCATGCGGCCGCGGCCACTGGGGCCTTCGGCGGGGCTCCCATGGGGCTACGAAGCGCTGCACTGGGTGGGTGAAACGCAGGGAAGGGGGGGAGGAGGGAGGAGGAGGGGGAGGAGGCAGCGGGAGGGGGGAAGGAAGGAGAACGCGGGGCACCGTCTCTTCAAAACGAGGACCCAACACCATAGGATGGTTGGGAAAAAGGATCCCCTTATAATATTGAAAGAAATGGCCACGGCATATATCATACGGCCTCTTCTCTCCAACTGCTCATATACTGCATATCTAGCTGCGCAGACAGGGGCAAACACACACACACACACACACACACACACACACACACCGCTTTCGCCTCTAACACTGATGTAGGATCAGCTGTCCTCTGCAAAGACTGCCACATACAAGGACACAAAACAAACATCAAAATAATTCCGATCTGAAAACCTGTCATAGACGTCCCAGCGGGTGAAAGCACAAACCTCGACCAATCGTCGAATGGCTAAGCCATAGACGCTGAAATCTGGCAAACTGCTTGTTCCGACGCGGTTGCCACCGCAGTCGCTGCCCCAAGAGCTGGCACGAAGTTCCAAACGAAAAACTGCTTGCTAGAACTCCTGCAAAAAGCACGGCACGCGAAGAGCGCGTCACAGATGTGCCACTGCCTTATTCACTTCAAAATTGCATGCAAACTCATGCGCGTCAATCCTTGCAATTCCGTCGTCAGCGCTATAGTCCTTCAGTTCGGCGTAGCACGCATTCATCTCGTCGGCGTTCTTGCGTAGTTTCACTGGCTGTGCTCGTTGCGTTTCCCCCCAGGGTTCTGTCAGCTTCCGTTCCCTGAGCGCTTGTGCCCGGGGATCCTGCCTGAACGTCCAGAGGTTCTCGTAGAAGACTCGGTCTTGGCATGGTGTGTCCATCTTCTTGGTAAGTCCGTCGGCTACTCGCTGGTCGGATCGGGCCCACTTGATACATCCGCGCCGGCATTCCTGCCTGATGATGGCTGCATCCAGAGAAAGTCTTCGACATGATAGGTGGACGCGCTCCTTCGCAACACAGCAGCGGTAAGTAGCTCCTGCTGCTGCTTCGCCCTTTTCACGGGGCATCCGGCAGCCCGTCATCGCATCGATGTAGTTGTCCATGTCGACGGTGATAGCATAGTCCTTGTCCTGCTGGAAGCGTCGCCCAGCAAACGTAGCTCCTTCTGGTGCGTTATGTAGATCATGCCAGTCTCCAAACTCCACCTGGCTCCTTAATTGCTGAATCACGTGATCACAGAACTCCTTGCTGTTCTCCACGTCAAAAGCCATGAGCATGTCATCGACGCGCAGGCATAATAGTCCAACGAACTACCATTGATTCATCACCTTGCAGGCGGCAGTCTCAAACTGCAGCTGCTCGAAGCCGATGTCTCGCAGAATCTGGACAATTATCTTGTACCAGGCCCTTGCTGCGCCATTGGTGCCGTAGATGTTCTTGCTGAGCTTGAGTAGGCTTCCTTCTTCGATTCCAGGCATGCGCATACCCCGCAAGCTCCGGGGCGTTTTGAAATTCAGCCCCCACTCAATCTTGACCCCCTGCAGAAAAGCTCCAGCAGCATCGCCAGCACAACGTGAAAATCGCTTGCACGCGGCAATTGTGCATAACAGATTCTACAAAAGGGCCTGCATGTCGGTGAATCTCTTCGCAGCTTCTCATCGCATTTCCCCTGGCAACATTTCCCCACAATGCGACATGCGGGTTGGATGTTAGCGTCATGATCACGACCCCCCTTCGCCCATGCAGTTCGGCTCTCGATCTGTCACGACTCATCGATATGATTGGCCAGTGCCGGTGAAATCACAATCACAGCGTCGCACATGGTCCAATAAGTGGGTTGACACACTTCTCGGCGCGTTCTCGGGTATATCCGCCATCACGACTGAGTACCTCCCCATATCTCCATCTCGCCCTTCGATACTCGGTCCGCTCGCTCAGGCGCGAAAGCCTCGCACATGATCGCGTTGGTGGCATAGGCGGTACGCGATCTCATGTTTTTCTCGGCGACCGTGATGTTGCGACCAATGTGCGTTCGCCCTCCGCACACAGTCTGGGATGCTTGCGTCTTCCTTGTAAGTCTCGATCGTCCAGCACGCTCTGCCTCGCCTCGTTCACGACTCGCTGGTTGGCGAGTTCGTTGTCGTTTCCGTGCGTCTTGTTCTCCTGGTTCTGCACGAGGCCGAGGTCCATCGTCACTCGATGTTGGAGGTGGAGCCAGACTGTCCGCCCCGACCGATTGAAGTGGCCATTGAGGTTCAGCACCTTCGGGAGGCCAGTCTTGTCGAACATAATCCGGGCTCTGCCCTTGCCCATTGGAAGGGCCGCGGTTACTCAGATACGTATACTCCACCACGACATCCCCCATATCCACATCACGTATCAAAGGAACTTCGAATGGTACTGCTAGACTGTTACGAGAAATATCCCCGCGTAGGGCCTCTGCGTCGAAGTTGAAGATACATCGCTGTAGAAGCCTGTCTCGAGGAATAACATATTCTTCTGGTAATGGGGTCATCATACATCGCGTAATCCTCGCTGCCAACACTGCGTCATATGGACCGCGGGGCTGCGCTCCAATGATCATCTCCCAGGTGCTTGGTATACACCATGATCCATCTGGTCATTCAACTTGTACGCGACGTCCTTGTGTCGGTGGTTGATCATCTCCGTCGTCAGGTTATTGATCTGGTGCCCCCTCCATACTCGGAGGGTCTGCTGGTGGTTGAGACTGAGGTTCCTGTGGAGGCCGCGGTTCTAGCCCCGGTTGCAAGGGCCATTGCGAATCAACCAATATCGAAACTGATCCTTGCCAATCATTCGAGCTGGCCCTTGCCACTTCCGACGCAGGTCGCGCGTGCCTCCACCTGTGCGCCGACAGTGAACCCATTCACCTCGCTCGAATGGCCCGGGCTGATGTCGGGTCTGTGATAGCACAGCTCGTCGTAGAGCTATACTATTGGCTGGCTGGTGGAAGGCAAACTCACAAGCTTCTTGTAGTCGCAGTCGATGCCACATGAGCGATCCTTGAGCAACTTGCCCAGCAACCACAGGATCGGCATTGATATCTCCGAGAGATGCCGGTAAGGAATGGTTCTCGCAAAGTACCCACTGCGCTGGGCTGAATCCCTTTTTGTTGGCGAGTCGCTTCATAGTCCGAGCAATCTGGCATCAGGCAACTCGGGCACTCTCGTCATCCCTGACCTCCAGCTCCGGAAAAAAAAAACTTTAGCGACCATCTCCTTGAAGAAACGGATAGTTCGTTCAACCTTCCCATGTTGGCAAAGCTCTTCAGGAGAAAGGAATACATGACATTCCAAGATCCTGGCACATTCAAACTCTAAGCGAAACGCTGCGCCCCGGTCAATCAGCATCCTTTCCGGGGTGAGCAGTCCACCCCTCCGTGAGAGCGATCTTCGCACGTGCTGACGTCGGAATTTGCCTCCGATCTCCACCGCTGATCACCCATTGAAGCGCTGTAAAGTCGGTAGCAAGGTCAAGCATGACCAAGAAAGCATGCACATCCCCACCCAAGTCTGCAACATACGCAATGCCCATGCCCAGACTCTGATTGAATCGCATCCACTTCGGTGGGCTTGCACTAGGATGTGCTGGCGGTCGCTGCGCTGCCTTGAGCGCTGCCGGCACTCGATGCCTATCGGCGTAGGTCTCCGCATTCGCGCCCATCATGATTCCTGAGCTTGATGTGAAACGTGTGGCGGGGCATGTGTCAACGGTATCGGGAACTCCCAGGATAGTCTCGCCTCCTAGTAGCTTCTCGAACTCATGTTGTTGCTTGACACCACATAGAACCCGCACAGCCATGTCTGTTGCCCGTTTTGAAAATTCACGTGACTTGCCACCACGCCCTTGAACTTGACCACGTCCGCGATCTCGTGAACACCGAACTTCAAATGCATATGACAGCGCCACTGCTGACGTCACGAATCCCGTTGGTGTCTGAAGCAGTTCTCCACGATCATCTCGCAAATCAAAGGCACATTGATCACATCGAACCCAAATCAATCCAGGTGGCAACTCATACATGATGATGTTCCACACTTGTGAACATAGAGAGTTCTCCAGTAGTGCACGGCGTCCATGCTCCATTCGATGCCTGACAATTTCGAGTGCAAACTGAACATGCGCGAATGCCTTGGCTTGGCGTCGTCGTCTCTCCTTCGGTGGAAAGAAGTTTTTGATTGCTGACCACGCGCCACACGGAAATGACACGATCGTGAGATATGGGTCTTCAGACTCAAGTTCCCTCATCGTCTCTGCTTGCACGCTGGGCAGCAATAGATCATCGCCCGCAGTACGTAGACCCTTGCATTTTCAGGTTCTCAACACTCCGTCGCCAGGCAAGTAACACTGCACTGACCGCCGTAAATATCCTTGACCACTGCCCCAGGAACACGCAGACGACGTCGATCAACACGTAGAACACTCCGCGTAGCTTTCATGCCCCGCGCATGGTCGGCTATCCACGCATCCACTTGTTTCTTCCGGGACTTCGTCGTGATGCCGATATCTGCCTGCATGAGATCGCTGCTCTGCGTCTCGTTTGATTCGCCCTCTCCTGCTGCCCAGACGCCCAGCGTTTTCGCACTGATGGCAGGCGCTTCCCGATGCGCCGGCGTCTTCGGAAAATCAGCGACATGGACCATCAAGCGTGATCTTCACTGGCGCGTCCGAAATCGCTCTGAAGATCACTTGATTGCGTTTCACGCGAATGAGCGTGTCCAGGGTGTCCATTTGAGCAACTCTCACGAGCACCGGCGCGTCGGAGTTCGGTAGCCTCTCGAAGTCGAGCACGCAATCTCGCCCTTCAATGCCACTCGGCGCTGCCTGAATACTCTCGGCCCTGGCCGGGGCGAATGCGTTGATGCCTTTGAAGGTCGTCCTGCTGGGCATCTGTCGGTCCGTTAGCTCGAGCTTCTCCAGGCAATCGTGGATAACTCTGTCGTCGCCAACCCGGGCCAGAACCAGTGTCCAGGACCACGTAGCCTGGGGAGACCACCTGCTCTGCCACCATCGTGTCGACTAACTCCTCGTCGATGTCAGTGATCGCCCTGATTGGATCATCGGGCTGGTTCGCAATGAGCATTATCAGATCGCATTCCTGCTGATGTCCAGCCCCCGATGCCAGCACTGCTGCTGCCAGACCAGTACGCGCCAGAAATCCCCCAGCTCGTCCTCGCCCAGCTCCTCGCCCTGATCCTCTCGGCTTCTGATTGGCTACCTTCCTCGTCTCGTTGCACTCTGGGTCGGCAGCCGAGTGTCCTATTACATGGCACGCACTGCACCAGCTTTGTTTCTGGAAGGCGCCGAGCTCACGTTGAAGTCGAAGCTCTTTGGTGCCGAAACTGACCTTGCCATCGAGGTCGATGTAGGTCTTGCCCTGTCGAAAACCTCGGTTCGTCTTGCCATGTTCGATGAGCTGTCGCTGCCGGCTGTAGTTCGATGAGCTAGAGCCTTCTTTTCCACGTCCACGCCCTCTTGTCGCAACTGCTCCGACGACCTTTTGCGCCTCTGCCGCAGACGTCTGCAGTTCTTCTCTCGGTAGGTCTGCGACGTCCACAACTGCGAAAGCCGTCTCGAGCTCTTCCACTTCCGCCGACAGAATCGTCATCTCGTTGTCTTCATCCTCGTAGTCTTCTTCTCCGTGATCCTCCTCGGCTCCGCCACCCTCGACCCCCCCCTCAGGATCCGCGCCGAAGCCTGCATTCCATCTGAACCGTCGTCCTCCGCCATCACGCTTGTGATCTCGGCTACCTCGAGCGTCGATGCTGTCGAACTGAATCTCGAGGACGTCGCATATCGCATCCCAATCATATTCATTATGTGCCTGGCCCAGGAACGCCTTGTGCTGAGCCTCCGTAACACCACACATGTCTAGTAGAAAGAAACGGTATGAGATCCTCCGACACCTTCGTTTGCCCGTTCGCGAGTTCTTTCAGTTTCTCGCATGCGTCTGTCCACCGTTGGACAAAGTCCTTCATCTGCTCTCCTGGCTTCCGGCGCCCGCGTCCGAAATAATCTGGAAACGCCCTGCGCTTCTGCAGCGGTGCCACTTTCTCCACATGTGAGCGAACACACTTGATGAGTATGTCGGAGCGCTTCCGTTTGAAAACTGCTCGGCTAGGGCCTTGACGTCGTCTTTGTGGCACGACGTCCACGCTCTCCCGCTGCGGCCGTTCTTGACCTTGGCGATGAAACCCTTATTATTATTTTCGGTGTTCTCTACGCCCAAGAATCCGAGCCGCACTCTCTCATCCCACTCTTCTGCTGCTGCCGCGTCTCCATCAAAACACGGAACGCCGTTTTTATCCAGCCACACGTGTGACCGTGGATTTCGATCGTTCGCCATCGTGGAACCTGAACTGCTCTCTATGAAGTCTGACCTGCTCTCGAGGAAATCAAAACTGGTTTTGAGTAAATCTGAACTGCTCTCGAGGAAGTCTGGACTGCTCTCGAGGAAATCTAAATTATTCTCGGAAGAAATCGCACTGTTGCGTAGACTCGAAGTCACGCACACGATCACAAGATACACACTCACCCCAACAACATTATTTGCCTGTCCGCAAAGACCAGGTCTTGACGACAATAATGAAAAAAAACGAACCAACTCAGCATAGGCCGTCTTTCGTTGACTGCTCCGCTACCAGTGTGTCAATGATGTTGGAGATTGACCTGTCGGTTCTCCTCTCCGCACGTAAGCTCCGCAGTCGAGCGAAAACGGTCGTCTTCACGACCAATCAAATACAGCACGATAAATGTGGGAAGCCCCAGTCAATAACTGGAACACATCTAATAACTTGTTACCGATGATAGCTCAAAAGGGGATATCCTGATACGATTGACAACTGCATATCTACTGCGTTTCGAATTGCAGAAATACAGGCAAAACACGCTCGTCACGCAGACGGTTCCAAGACGGGGTCCAGACGGGAGACCCGCACGGATATTTGGAGCCATCAGCCCCGAGAGACCCCCAGGAGCGCCCAAGAGGTCCCCGAAAGGCTCCCAAGAGGACCCAAAAAGCCTCCAAGAGGCCCCAAGATGCCCCCACAAGGCCCTCAGGAGGCCCCCGAGAGGCCCCCAAGCGGCCCCAGGAGGCCCCCCTCAATGCCCCCCAAGCACGCAAGCAAGTGCCAGCGATGCTACAATATGGGCCGGCGGAATCAGCGAAGCGATTGAGTATATATCTACATATATACATATATATAGACACAAATGTATATACATCTGTATATATATATATAAATATGTACATATATATACATATATATATATATATATATATATATATATATACATATATATATATGTATATATATATATACCATATTATATATATATATATATATATATATATATATATATATATATATATACATCTTCTCCTCCCCCGAGATCCGCAGCTGCGCGCGCGAGCGCCGACGTGGCCATGCGCACGAGGGCCAGCTCCCCGATGGATCGGGGCACGCCAGCTGACCACCTCACCGATCCTGGCCAGGCCCATCCTGGGGCCCCGGATCGGCGTGTGCGCGCCGGATCCCCGGGCTCGGCCAGGGAGGCGCAGACGCCGATCCTCGGCCCCGCACCGGCCGGCCCAGCCGGGATCCGTGCGGTGGCCAGCCAGCACCCCCCGAGGTGGAGGGCGGCCGGGTGCCCGGCATCTGCAGCGCGCTGCCGATCGACGCCACGAGGCCCTGGCGAAGGCGCACCGCGCTCCAGGCCGCGTCCGCCGGCTTCGCCCCAGCCAGGGTGAGGGCGAGCCTGATCGAGCGCTCCACGCACACCGCAAAGGAGCGGTCGCCCCCGGAGGGGAGGGGCTCCTTCGACAGCCACTCTTTCGGCTCCTTCCCGATGTTCGTGCTCAGCGGCCTGGAGTTCAGGAACGGCAGCAGGGTGCCGTAGGTCATCACGGGCCCGTTGGAAACGTTGGGGAAGACGCACTGCCGGAACAGCATGTACCAGAAGGCGCTACCGTAAAGCTTCTTCAGAGGAACGCCGCCGACGACGAAGGGATTCTGCCGCGCGGGGATGTTGGGGCTAGGGGCGGTGCCCCAGGCACTGACAGGATGGTATTGAGATCCCTCGCCAGTGTTCATGATCGCCACCGACCACTCGTCCTTGCTCGTCTCGCGGACGAGGACGAGAACACAGGCCCATCCGCAGTCGTCGTTTTCCTCCGGCGTCTCCACGGAGACGTATGAACGCAGCCATGCAGCGGGGACTATCAGAAAGCCGCCTGGCTCGACCTTCTTCACCCTATCAACCAAAAAACTCAAAAACTCCAGGAACTTGTTGCTCACGGGCGTCGAATCGCAGCTCGACGAGTGCTCCTTCAGTGGCGGGCGGGGTATCATCCGCGCCAGCTGCTGTGCGACCGCTATGGCCTCCGCAACCTTGCGAACCGGCTCTTGCCCTCCGTCCTCCGCCTGCCAGCGATTCATCAGACCGCTGGCCACGGACAGAGTGTCTGTCAGTTTCGACAGGGTGGGCGAGTTCTTCGTCTCGTCCTCGGACACGCCACCGCCGACCAGGCCTGCGGCGGCGCCGAGGAGTTTCAGCTGCTTCATTGCTCCACTGGCCACGGCCTTCGCCGGATTCTGCATGAAGCTGAGCATGTACTCCCCGTGCGACTGGTACTCTGACTCCATCGCGTTCCGGCCAGCGGTGAACGACTTGGCCGCTCGCTGCAGCATGTCTTCGCTGCCTTTGTCACTGGTCTTTAAGAAGGCATCATGAGCAGCTGCCCCAACCCACTTGTACCCTGACATTCGACACCTTAGAACACCGTGACGCCATGAACAAAAACGTCAAAACCAACTTCGACACGAATTGTTGTTCGATTTTTCGAGCCCGATCGAACTGTCAGGGTCTTGAGGACCGACATGGGCCAAAAAAAAACAGTCTTCCTCTACACGTGCATGGGTCCATGAGGCCCACTCCAGAGCCCTGAAACCGAAAGTACACATCTCTTGTGGAGACCGCTTTGTTCTTCCGCCGGTTTCCGCCGGCAGACCGAGCGCAGCTTTGCTTCCGCCGCCTTCTGCCAGCCCTCCGCCAGGGAAGAGAGGGCGACCCCTCGATCACTCAAAGGCGAGACCGTTTCTGAAACGCCACATGCGTTTCACCTTTCCCACTCCTGTCCTTCCCGTGCCTCTGCCAGACCGCAGGCAACGAACATCCTGCCCGACGGGCCGGGCCGAGCCGAGCCGAGGAGCTAGACGAGCAACACAACGCGGCACTGGCGCCAGCGCGGTTACCGCCAGAAGCACCTCGGCGGGCAGCGGCGGTCTCCCCCGCGACTGGCCGCTGCGGCGACAGCCGCGAAACACCCGCAACGGCGTAGAGAAAGTGCCCAGAACCCCCCCACCAACACCATCACCAGCGCTTGCACCATCACCAAAGCACTGGAAGCCGGCCACTGGATCACCACCAGCACAACCACGCTGGCAGCGACAGCAGCAACAGAAGCAGCGCCAAAGGCAAGAGCAGCGATCGCAACAGCATCGCCAGACGGCCTGTGCAGCCACGGCGACAGCAGCAGCAAGAAAAAAAACGCGGCATCAGTGCCACAGAGCACGGCGCCTAGACGCCAGCAAACAAACAACGCCAGCAGCAACTGGCACATCCGATGGCGCCGTCCAGATATCCTGTTCGTGGCTTGCTCGCACACATCTTCGCCCGCATGATACACCGCGCGCGACGCGGGTAAGCAACGTGAGCCCCAAGCATTAGGCACTGCCTGCGAAGAGTAGATGACGCTACAGAGGAACCCAACATACTCAGCACGCATCAAATGTTCATAGTTACGCTATGGATAAATACCGCACCCCCTCTGTTCAGATAGCGCCGCGCCTGCGCGAGGGGGGCGTTCCCTCCCTCGTTCCTCTCTGTCTCTCTCCCTTTCTCGCTCCATCCTCCTCGCCTCTCTGAATTCCCCAATTCCCCTCTGTTCGCCCTCATCCTCCTCCTGTCCCGTCCTCCTCCTCCTGACCCTCCTCCTCCTCCTCCGCCTCTCCTCCTTCTTGCTTGTAGCGTTGTTATGATTCGTCTTATTCGGAACATTGATCTTAATAGTCTTAGTCTTCTCAGTCTCATTATTATCATTCTTAGTGTTCCTCCCCTCCGCCCCCCTCACACGCGCGGCGCCCCCCCCACCACCACCTTTCTCGGGGCGCCGCGGCGGTCGCCGGGCGGCGAAGCAAGGCGGGGGCCGCCAGCTCGAACCTCGGCCCGCACGGCCATCCAGGACAGCGGACTCGGGCCTCCCGCAGCCACAGCACTCGCAGCGGCGAGGCCCGTCAGGGCAGGGAACGGGGAACGAAGCTACAGGCCGAACTCGAAGCCGAACTTGCCGAACGGGTTCAGCAGCTGGATCTCCCCACGCTCGCCAGGGCGCCAAGGATGATGGGCAGCAGTATGATGAGCAGCAGCACCCTTGACCAAGCTCACCGCGAATGGCTGCTGGCCTTGGGCAGGCTCTGGGTTAAGCAAGCCGCAGCATAGCGCACATCCTTTGGCAATCAGCCGTCTCGCGTGCTGCGAGGCGGAGCTGCTCCAGCATCGCGACACCATCCTGGATATGAATGCGGTACGTCCACTGGCGGCGCCATCTGCCTCGGAGAATGGTACGAAACAAGTCGCCCAGAACTTGCCAGTTGTGGGTTGCGCCTCGTCGCCTCGGGCTGCAGGGCTTGCACGTACTAGGGTCCGCACCCATCTTGGTCAACTGCCTCTTGAAGCCCGCGCGAAGCAGGGCGACTCGCAAGGAACAAGGACTTTGCCTCTAGCGCTACCCGCCAACACGGGGGCAAGCACATGCACTGCCTCGAGATCGTCAACGACAGCGTGCTCGGGCAATCCTGCCCGTTTGCCAGTCTTGGCGAGGCCGAGGTTGATGCGGCAAGCGCCCTGTTCAAGGTCGAACGCACACTGCCCAGAGCTAGCATGAGCTCGCACGGCCGAAGAAAGCCATTGAAGGCAACCAGCAGGCCAGCCGCCATGCTAAGGTCACCGGTCACCCTCCTCCAGAGCGTTGATGGACATAGCGAGGACCCGCTGCGCCAGCAGAGGCCTCGCCCTGGAGGGAACCTCGTTCTCGCACCAAGTGCCGCAGTGCTGGATGCCAGATAGGGTGTCACCGACAAGAGAGCGTGGCTCGCCCACTGCCCAGCACTCCTCCAAAATTCCTCCAATAATCTCGTCAATGGCTTCAACACTCGACGGTAGCTGCTCGCCAACGCGCTCGAGCCACTCGAACCAAAAATCGACGGCTTCCCTGTATGCCTTGAGGGTCGCCGGCTGAAGCTGCAATGATCTTAAGCTGCCTGCCTTCGCCTTCGCCAATTGGCGCCGCCCCCTCGCGCCGCCGTGGATGCCCGCGCCCGCCATCTGCTTGGAGCGTCGGCAGGATTGAGCTCCGACCGCGCGCGCACCCAGGTCGGGCGGCACGAGGCGGCGAGCAGCAGGGCGCTCAGGCGAGACAGCAAGCGCTGCAGCAGAAACGAGGAAGGGCGGCCTGTGCAGGCGACAGCGATGCGCACCTGAGAGTTGCAGAAACGGATAACGCGGCCTCGCGAGCGGCCAGCACCTCGGCTGCCCCACTTGAAGGTCGCCAGTCAGGCCTCCATCTCCAGCGCGTCGACGTGGGCCCGGCGGCCCAGGGCCTGAGGATAGCCGAGGGAGACGCGCCAGCGCCACCAGCTGGACTCGACACCCCTCCTCGGCCAATTCGAGGGATTGAGAAGGGCGCCGGCAGCCAGCCGAACGTCCGAGCCCAAGAAGGCCGCTGACCGCACCATGGTCTCGCAGGTCACGCGGTGGACGTCGGCACCGTCGAGCTCGCCGAAGTCCTCGTCGCCAGGGTCGCCGAGGAGGTCGTGGCCCTCGTCGCCTGGTTCGCCCCAGAGGTGCGCCAGAGGGGGGGGGGCTCGTCCAGCAGGCCGCGCGAGACGAGGCTGGCCCCCAGCAGGATGGCATAGACTGAGACGGACAATCTGTTGCCACAGAGACCGCACTTGACGCCCCGAGCCCCCCTCGCGCTGAAGCCCAATTTCTTGGGCGCTGCAGGCGCGCCGCGTCTCCAGGGGAAGCTCGAGCGCACGCCCCTCTCGAAACTGCATGGGGGCCTGAGGTCGCTGCCCTTCGCCTGAGCCAAGTTGGACAACTTGCACTGGCACGGCGGATACCTGAAGCCGTCAGCCCCCCAGCGCTCTCTCGCCTCGGCAGGCGCGGCCAACAAGCCCGCCGGGGCAGCGGGCGGCTTGGCGCGAGGGATCGGGCGCATGCGCGTCGCCCAAGGTTCATCCTCTCCTCGCGGGCGCTCTGCCCCCTCCTTGACCCAGGCTGGCCATGGCCTTCGGGGACTCGCCTTGATGACCCTGGCGCAGGCCCCCCAGCTAAACTCTGGGGAGCAGCAGAGAGGGAAGGTGACCCTGTGGAGCCTCGGCCTCTTGACCGGCCTGCGCTCGCCGGAGCAGAGCTCCACGGGGGCCACCTACAGCAATGAGCTGAACCGCCCCTTATCACACTTGGACATGGAGGCCACGTTCCCCACCAGGCCCAAGACGCACAGGGACGGCGCAGACTCACGCGCCAGCGCGGCGATCCGCAGGACCTCGGCGACAAGGAGCGCGCGCTCCTCGCGCCAGCCTCGAATCTCCACGCCCACCCTCGCGACACAGTGGCACGGGCTACCCGCAGTCACGAACGGGGCGCGGAGGCACGGGGCAGTGCCCAGCACGCGCCCGACGCCCCGCAGCGCGATGGACCCCAACAGGCCATAAAGCTTGGCGCCAGGCCATCTGGCCATCAAGACCCGCCGCGAGTTCTCGTCGATCTCGACCGCCGCGCGCAGGGCAAGGTCGACCCCCAAGTGCTCGATGGCCATGCGCGACCCGCCAATGCCCGCGAACAGCTCGACGAGGCCCCCGGCGTCTCTGCACTGGCCACGCGCGTGGGCAAGCTCCGACAGGACTGTCGGCACGAACGCGCGCTTCAGCAGCCTCGCGTAGCAGGCGCCGCCGCCCGTCTCAGAGCCGCCACTCCTTGCGAGGGCAAGGTCCGCAGCCGCGCGGAGGTCGAACTCGCGGAGCGGCAGCAGGCACAGGCCGCGCGCTAGCTCGTAGACGAAGGCATCTGGCAGGCGAGCTCTCCCTCGAGTCGGCCACGAAAGCATGGCGCGCCAGACTCGGGCGTGCACAGTCGCGCACTCTCGTCGGAAGGTCCCTGCGTGGCACCTGAACCCCATGACAATATGCAGCTTCTTCACGTCTCGGCCTCAGTCAGCAGGTACGCCGTCAGCTGAGCCAGCAGCGCTGCCCGCCCAGGATGAAGCCGCGCGCGCCCGTCCTTGCCGACGCCGTCAACCAGGGCGCCCAGCCTCTTGCACTCCTGCGCCCGCGCGCCGTTATCGGCGCTGGTGGGGGCGCCGAGGTCGCTGTAGATAGGCCTCGCAGCCTCGGCGAAGGTGGGATTCTCTAGAGCAGCAGGCATCCTGACTAGCCCGACGTAGTCGGGTTCGTCGCAGCACACCTGCCACAGGCTTTGCAAAGCCCTCGACCCAGAAACAAGGGCAGGCACAGCGCGATCCGCGCTGATCTCGCGATCTCGGGGCAGGCCAGATGAGGCGCAGCTGTGAGAGGCCAGCATGCGCCTGCGCACATCCTGGATAAAACCCATCGCAAGC